AATGATAGCAAAGTAGTATTGTGGAAAGGGAAGGAGGAAGACTGTTAATTGAAATGGCTTCAACATAAAGTATAGTCAAATGATTGATGGCAGCAGCACAAAAGCAAGCAAACTGTTTGAGTTTACTAAGTAGCCATAGTAAACTCCTACATCCTTAGCTTGGAGTTTACATACAGTGGGGCAAAAAAGTATTTAGTCAGCCACCAATTGTGCAAGTCCTCCCACTTAAAAAGATGAGAGAGGCCTGTAATTGATAACAAGGTCAAACAGGTGCCATTACTACAGGTAACGAGTGGAGGACAGAGGAGCCTCTTAAAGAAGTAGTTACAGGTTCTTTGGATGCAACTCAGCATTCTCTCTCCTCCAAACACGACGAGTTTTCTTTGGATGCAACTCAGCATTCTCTCTCCTCCAAACACGACGAGTTTTCTTTGGATGCAACTCAGCATTCTCTCTCCTCCAAACACGACGAGTTTTCTTTGGATGCAACTCAGCATTCTCTCTCCTCCAAACACGACGAGTTTTCTTTGGATGCAACTCAGCATTCTCTCTCCTCCAAACACGACGAGTTTTCTTTGGATGCAACTCAGCATTCTCTCTCCTCCAAACACGACGAGTTTTCTTTGGATGCAACTCAGCATTCTCTCTCCTCCAAACACGACGAGTTTTCTTTGGATGCAACTCAGCATTCTCTCTCCTCCAAACACGACGAGTTTTCTTTGGATGCAACTCAGCATTCTCTCTCCTCCAAACACGACGAGTTTTCTTTGGATGCAACTCAGCATTCTCTCTCCTCCAAACACGACGAGTTTTCTTTGGATGCAACTCAGCATTCTCTCTCCTCCAAACACGACGAGTTTTCTTTGGATGCAACTCAGCATTCTCTCTCCTCCAAACACGACGAGTTCATTTTGTCTCTCATAGTTGAGGTATACCTATGATGAAAATTATAGGCCTCTCTCATCTTTTTAACTGGGAGAACTTGCACAATTGGTGGCTGACTAAATACTTTTTTGCCCCACTGTACTAAGCTGAGAAAAATTATCTGAAGGGTATGGCTTAGCAGGACAGCACATTCTTTTCATGCCATTAGTCCCCATGTCTGTCCCCAAGTTCTCCTGTTAAAAGGGGATTTGTTGGGAAGGCTGGGAAAGACTCCCTGTCTGGAGAATAGCTGTTGGGAAGACCATATCAGGCAGGGGTGGGGCACTTTTATTTGGCCTTAGTGCTTTCCTCCTTTATGGCTCTACCTTTTTCATAAATGTTTTTGATCTATGTCTAATGACAGCTGAAAAAGTCACTTCCCTGGGGAAAGATTGGCATCGACCATGCTTGAAGTGTGAAAAATGCAACAAGACCTTAAGTGCAGGTGGCCATGCAGAGGTAAGTGGAGTACATGAAGAGATACATGTCCTTGGCTATGGCTTGAAGAACAGTTTTGCCCTATTTCACATAGCTTAGCTAATATGTAATTGTTCTTTTCAATGTGTTCCTGTTTCTTATGTTTAGTTATCAGCCCTGGCATTTACCCATATGTGGGATAGAAATAATGCCACATAAACTGTTTTCCTATACCACTTTTGGGATCATGTTCTTCAGTAAATGGCCATGTTCTCTAGTGATGCTTGGAAAAAAAATCTGTGCAGACAAACTGGAGAGGAGAGACCATAGTTGAGATGTCTATCCATATGAGAGGGAACTATAGGGGCAAAAGCCAGGCCTATGGCTCTTAATGTTAGCCTGTTTACACTGCAAAACACCTGCCTGTTTAACTTTGGGGATGAATAAACTGGCAACTATGAGACTTTGTGTCTACCTCCAACCTCAGAAGGAAATGGTAATCCAACAGAAATGTGAGTAGACTCCATCAAATATTATTTGTTTATCTTTCCTTTGAGATATTTCTCTTCTTTCTACAGCATGATGGGAAACCTTATTGCAACCATCCCTGCTATGCTGCACTGTTTGGACCTAAAGGTAGGAGTCAGCCGGAAGATGTTATTGTATAAGCCACCTAGAGAAACTCCAGTGACAGAGATAGAGGGAGGGAGGGAGGGATGGGGAAAGAGAGAGAGAAAGAGATTAGCATTTTTTTTCTTTTTGAATAATGCAGTAACTTTTTAATGGTATGCCTAGTGCTACAGCAATCTCTGCTTTATGCAAGATGTTCATAAGAGGTAAAATCTGCCTTGAATCTACATTTGCTAGTTTCTGTCCTATATAAATAGCATTTCTATCTGGCATCGTTATAATGTCACAATGTCAAATTGCCTCATCTGAAATAAGTAGAAGTTCACCCATTTTCTCTGAGTAAGACTTTATAATAGTAAATTTGTTCCATGCCATTGACTCATTTGTTTGCAAGTCTGCATAACAATGTGTACACTATTTCAGGTGCACTTCTACACATCTTGTGTAAGGAATGCTTCCTTATATAATGTTTTTCTATACACATTTTGAATTGAGAACTCAGTCGTAACATTTGAAGCACTGCTATTGTAACATATCTGAGACATTATTCATTCTGAATTCTCTGTGTTTGGGTTGAAAGCATGCAAAAATCTTGGATAAATGTAATACTTTAGCTAATCATTAAATATAAAATATTTTATGTAAAAGCTGGCTACTAAATAATAATATATAGGGCAATCCTGTGTTGTACTGCAAAATGCTCCAGCTTTCTAGCAGTTCTGAAGCCCTGGCAGTGCATATTTTCATGGTCACTATTTTTCTGTTGTCTTAATTTTTCTTATCCTAAGCTATGGGAAAGAATTTATTCAAACCAGGCCAGCAGCTGTTCTAAATTTCCCCTGGGTCAGTAGCAGAGCTGAAAGCTGGGGAGGATCTACAAGTCTTTTGCGCTCCCACCCTTTGCCCAATTACTTCTATAAGATTTTAAGGCTTTCTAAGGGATTTCAAGACATGAGAAATCAGATTAGCGGGGAAGGATGAAGGGAGGAAGAACTGTATGTCAGTTTTTCCTCTCAGGAGTTGGATCTGTCTTAATTACCTTGGAGAGGGAACTCTACCAAATCCTACAGGATCCAGTATTTTCCCCCCTTATTCCCCCTTTCAGATAAGATGTGAATATGAGGTTTGGTATGAAGCTGGAAATCTTGCTGTACTATAGATAATTTACACTACTTGGCTGAAGTCCTGGAAACACAGACAAATATTAGCAACACTGATGTGTTCTATTCACCTTAGAGGTTAGGGTTAGGGTTAAGCTTGCCAAAGAGGAAGCTTGTTTTGATAACAATCCATGTTTTGCAACAGTACAAGGGATTGGAGGTAAATTTTACAAAAGATAGAAATGACAAAAGGCATGGCAAATTTCTGCAAAGTAGGATTTTTCAACTGTTAACACTGAGGTGGCAGATTCTCTTTAGTGTGTTTTCACCAAGACAATGTCATAGAAATCTTGCATTTTTTCAGGTCATTGCTAAGTTCTTGTTGTCAAATTATGAATATGGCAGTCTGTTGTAATTTAACAGGAAGCTTCAGTCCATTTAAATATACTCTTCTCACCTCACTACAGAAGAGAGTGGGCTATAATTGACCCTACCCAATACAGGAAAAGATTTTTCTCTTTATATCTAGAAGATATCACAGAAAAAACATCAGCTAAAAGGTCTTACCTTTTACCATCTCTTTTCCTGATTTTTTCTGGCTCATCAGATAGTGTAGGAGCCTAAGTTCCCCTAGTATCTTATCTTAAAGTGGAGGAGAAGCACTTGTCATGGACTGAGAGATGGGGAGGTGCCATTAAAATCTATAATGCCTGACATTAGTTTTCTTTTAGGGTTTGGCCGTGGAGGTGCTGAAAGCCACACTTTCAAATAAAGCTTAGGTAAGTGCCTTTTCCTTAAGTTTCTTTTGATAGGCCCACTGATTAGAGAGGCCAAATGTGAACTAGCCTTGTAGGCTAACTTGTTCTTTTTGGTTTTGCTCATAATGTTCTCTTTTCCTCCTTAGGACTGGAAGGATGAACTTTGCTGAATCCAGGCAGGAGTTCATAAGGAGTACAACCACAATGTGTTTTTCCCCCTTAGAATTGAACATAATAAAGACTTCAAAAAGAGAGAGAGAGAGAGAGAGATGATAAATGAATGGGAGTTTCCTGTTCACATCAGTTGAGAAATATAATCATGTAGAAACTGGAAATAATGGCACTGGCAGAATCTTAGGAAAGCATGCATCAAAAAAAATCTAAGCCTGCTTTTAGATCTTTCCTTTTATTCTGGTTTTTCTAATTTACAATTACAGGTTTAAATCAAAAGAAGCTTGCAGAGTATCAGTGAATCAGGAAATGAACGTTAAAATGTGGTTAATATTTGCTGATATTTTTTAAGAATCACTATTTCAGAGGCTATCCAACACTGCCTTCAGAATTGTCTTTAGTGAATTCATGTGAAATGAACACTTATTGCACCCAGTGAAACTTGCATTCTGAATTTATAAACTTGAAACTCAGATTGAAGCCCATTGTGGAGCAGTCAGTTGATTGTACAATCAGCAACCAAGTATGTAGTCTGCCAGGACACTGGTGTATATTTATGTTAAAGCAATCCCAGAGAGGCTGGCTGTTCATTTTTACTTAGCTTTAGCAAGCTATTTAATTCAGTGGTACCTCGGGTTATGAACTAACGAACTTTTCGGGTTGCGACCAGCTCTGGCCGCAAAAATTTACCTCGGGTTACGAACTGGATCCGCGGCCATTTTCCGCCCGTTCCACGTGGTCCGCGGCCATTTTTCCGCCTGTTCCACGTGGTCCGCGGCCATTTTTCCACCCGTGCCACG